ATTTAATAAATTTAGATGAAATATTAAACGATGAACGTTTTGGCTAATATTTTTCTCGGATTTCTCGGATGAAAGTAGGACGCTAATTCATATAGTACGTGCATCAAGCTGCAGTCACAGTAACAGGACGAAAGTATAAATCACATTATACATAATGTAATCCCAACACAATTTCAAAGCTATAGTTTTGATTATAGCAGATTTGCATTAGTGCTTGGAATACCGGAGAATCCGAGTCACTCGTTAGTTGTTGCACAGTGAGTGAAGACCGATTCCGCAGATATCCATGGGTACCCATGAAATGCTCACTTCATAGTTTATACAAATACTCACATTGCTATTGATTAAACAATTTTGCAAAAGAGAAAAAAATATAAATAAAAAAAGAAAATTACAAGAAAACTGTTACTAAAAAATTTATACTTCGATAAATTTTTTATATAAGAACATATATGAATATGTAAATGTCCATAACATATGTATACATATGTTAGTTTCTTTTGAAGCGCTTATTCTGTTCGAAACAAAAAATAATAATAAAAAATATGAAAGAATTAAAAGAATAATTTCTACAATTTATTCTTATTAACGTTAAGTTAATAAGACAGACTTGCCATATATATTTACATAATTTTCATTTTATTTTAAATAAAAAAAGTTCATATAAATATGTGTCTCACGGCTTGGTTTTCAAAATACAGTGTTTAAAAAAAATTTTTGAAGTTATAATCTGTCTATTTTCTACAGACTACCTGATGACTAACATTTAATGTCGTAGCTTTTCCTTGTGCTCGTTTCTGGATGTGCTTTGATTTTATTATTAAAAACGGTTTTCTGTAGTTTTTATCCTAAATGTCACAAGCCTTCGATAGTAGTCCCCTTTTTATGAAAGAATTGGCGATATTATGATAAGCTGCCATTCTTTTACGAAAAATATACTTTTGTTGACATATACGTACATACGAGAGATTAGCGATTGAGAGTCGTGAGAGAGCAAAAAAGCACGCTCTCATATAATCTTAATCATGATCTATTTGATGCTACTAATGTTTCAGAGCATTTTTTAATTGATCAATTAGTAATATTCCTTTTTCGATTTGTCAATCAAATGCTTCAAAACCTAACTAGTACTATTTTTCACTTTAAAAAAGTTATAAAAAATACTTGTGTATTACTTTGTATAAAAAATTTGATATTCAACTAACTGACGCCAAGTTATAATCCTATAAAAATTATGTTACCTTACTTAACCCAAGTGATGTGTTCTCGAATTCGTACTCAGAATGTAATTTTGTTTCAATCCAAGTGATAATATCTTTTTTTTGTTTTAATTTTTAATTCAAGATTAAAAAATATTTTAACGTAAAAATTCCGTGCTGCTATATGCATATTAACATACATATAGTTACGCCAAATATTATACATCCTACGACTCACATTTCAGTTACGTTCATCTTTATTAGCTGAGGCCTTTGGATTTGTTACTGTTCATATTTTACAGCTATTTTTATGTATTTTGGTATGTTATAATTACGATCTGTGATGTTTTGAAGAAATTTTATTACAATCAAAATTAAGTATATTATTAAAACCTCAAAAAAAAAAAAAAAGGAAATAGATATCTAAATTCAATTCTATTCAAATGTTGTAGAGTGAAGGAGCCGAGGGAGCTCGTTTCTCAATCTGTAATTATAGTAGCCTTTTTTTAATTTACCTATCATCTGCTTCTGTGACCTCTGCTACACGGCATGCTTAATCGGGTTTAATAATATCCGTAGTTATGAAACTGGCCAATCACAGTCATTACATTCTTCCGAGTAACAACTATAATTGTCCATTTTTTACCGTCTAGCAGAAGTCTGTGACACTCAATATAATAATGCTATACTGATCTTTTTTAAGCACTATTGTTTCTTATTATAGAAAAAAATATGAATGTTTCCATACAGCACAGAAGTTTGTAGTAATATTGTGTTGCAACGTTGCATATTGCAACATATTTAGATAGACCTAAATTCAGGCAGTGTTAGCATATTGTTGTTATTTATGCTTCGTTTTGTTCTATTTAGACTTAGACAATGGAGAAGTGAAAACGTTTCAGTTCACGAGCCGAGTTTTGGACAGGTTTGATATATATTATATATATAATGTATAAATTTATTATTATTTAAATTTACGAAAATTTAATATTTTTTATTTACGAAAATTTATTAATATTTAAATTTACGTACGACTTTGGATATTGATGCATTTATGGATAAATAATATTCAGAGTTTTCAACATTTATTTTATGTGTTCCAACAAATTAAACAAAAATGTTTATAAGCATTTATTATTAGACTTTATAAGAATTTATTATTAGAAGAATTTCGTTGTTCATTATTCTATTATGGTCTTGATATGAAAGTCTATAAAGAAGTCTGTAAAGAGATTTTGAAAATAATAGTAAAAATTTTGTTGCATCCCTCTCTCCCTCTCATCACGTTATGATGGAATATTTTATAATGAAATGTTACATTTATTTTTGATATTTCTAAAATACTTAATCACAATTTTAATGTTCCAAAAATATTTGTTAATTTAAGAAACTCCCATAAGTGTTTACTGCTCTATTATTAATATGCGTTATGCACCGTTATTCGTCCATTAATTGCAAAACTACATAAAATATTATACTGTGTCTATCGATAAATGTCGCTTCTAAGCTGAAGTTTTTCAGCTCTTTGACATTTGAAAATTTGAAACATAAAGACATAGAAAATTTAAAACATAAAGAAATTGGTAAAGAAACAATGTTGACTAGGTTTATCAGAAATAATAGAAAGTGTAAAGTAGATATTTTATTTATTTATTTATATTATTAATTGTAAAATGTTATACCTATATATTATTTTTGCCGATATAATTTTAAATAAAATGTTTTATGAATTAAATATTTACATAGTACTTTTCAATGTAATGTTAATGATAATTCAAATAGTCTTTTCGACTTTTGTATTTGACTTTAAAAAAAATTTCGCTTGCAGCGCGCAAGTTTAATAATAAGTAATAAGGACGTAAAGATACGAGAATGATGTAAAATAAATTTAAATTTTCTTTGTTACTCGTTCGTTACAATTGACGCACGATGGTTTAGAAATCCGACAATCCAAAAATCAACCGAAAAATATATAAATTCATTAGTGATCTCCTCCTTTGAGGAATGTTTGGATTTGCCTTTTAAAATTAACAACTTTAGACACAAGTATCGTTCTGTTTTTTTTATTCTATATATATATATAT